CTGATTTGTTACTAAGTTATAATGAAAGAAGATATATTTATTTTTATTGGTTATTTACATGTTGTTAAGCACACTCTACTTTTAGAAGTGAACAACTAGTTCAATTAAAACACTCCGCTACCCACTGTACCAGGGGTAGCAACCATTCCGTGTAAAGCTTAATGCCCTGAAGTTTGTCACATTCATGGCCAATATAATAAAACAAAAAGACGTCCGAATAGTGTGTATATATGTATGTTTGGATACAATTTTTTGTCCACGATTTTGAGCGCACGGAGCAATGTATTTGAACGATTCAAAAAATTGACGGAAAGACGTGCTGTTTAGCTTTTGGCAGGTTCACATGTTTCAAAGATACGGGGCAAAAAGTGCAAAAATGGCAATTCAGTTTTTGAGAGAACGGAGCGGCCGATTAAAATAATTCAGAAAGCATTCAATTTGTATTGATTGAGTGAATAATTATTAACTTTTTTGCAAAAGCAAAGTGCAACAGTGTTTTCATCGGTCTGGAATATTTGTCATTTCCAACTTTTTTATGTGATTACATTGGAAACAAGTTTTTTTAACTAAAAAATCGATTTCAAAATCCGAAAACAGAATTTTCACATTTCTACAAACAATTTTATACAAAGTATATCAGATATTTTGATGCACTGGTTTCTATTCGACACAAAAATAACGACTGAAGATGTTTCTAACGATTTCTTTATTCTATTCCCCCCAGTCTACTATGTCCACTATGATATTAATTGAGATTAGATAAACAATAAAAAATTTGATTACCTTAATTACGATTTAGGGATGAAATGTGCCGGCCGCCCGTTGGCCGATCCTGCTGCACCATATAACAAAAAGCCGGCACGGCGCGTGTACCGTTCTGTTCAAGTGACTCGCTTGTGGCATTCGCAGCAAACGCGTTGTAATTAGGCTCACACGCGTGCTATCCCGTCCCTACAATATAGTTATTATGTATGAAGAATGTTTAGCTTTTTCACTCGATTTCGAATGCGAATTATAATATATTCTGAACACAACAGATTAGTGTTAATGCCTACGTTTGCCTCTTGAACGGAACGACGACGGTCACCAAGAGATACAGGCATCTGGAGTGGGCCATGAATTAGTTTAGATATTAGTTTTTTGTATATTTTTGTATATTTTTTATTGGCTTCAATACAGCATGTACTTGCTTACATTATTTTTTGTTATTCAATGCTCTTCATTATATTAATTTTTACATATACATTCAAGGTTCTACATCATATTATTTTCTTTATTTATATTAACTTTTAATATTCAATTCTGTTGAATGCTATGTTGGATTTTGCATACTGCTTTGCACAGGAATTTGCGAAAGTTTACTTTCACTTGGAAACATATTTTTGATCTATATTTTTAAGCAAAAATTGATATCACTACTGCAGACTGAAGTAAATAAAGTTTCTTGCAACGCGAGTTTAAAACCAGGAACCTTGCTATTGCAAGACCGGCGATTCAAACACAGTATCATGTGCACCCCCTTTTGCTGAACCTACAACATCCTCGCAAAAATCATTAAGACTTATTAAAAAATGTATTTATTCAAAAAATAGAAAATTATCCGAAATTTACTTTTAAAATATAATATCATATATGTTGCATACTCTTGGCATATAGGGTGGGGTCGCTGATGTTTTGACTCCCAAATAGGTTTGTAGTTCAAGATATGCATTTAGATTCTAAGTAAATATAATCCAAATTTTTCAGATTAAGCTATTCTATATATGACGAACGACATTTGATGCGGTTATAAAAAAATATCACTAGCTATTTGAAAATTGACTAGTTTCCGCCACTGTATAAAATGAAAAAAGCCATAAAAATCATTCTCCCACAGTCTTGTCGCGTCTTGAATTGTTTCTTTTGGTGGTGTTTTTTATGTTTTTTGGAAACCTATTTATTGATATCTGTAATTATTTCAATTAAAATAAATTGACTTATTTCATTTCTAGTAAGGAAGGATTAATATTTGAGGGTATGCTAGAGACAGGATACATTACAATTAAGGAATAATATAAAATGTAATAAAGGGATTTTAAATGGTTTTATAATACTCATTCTGTTAGAAAGGTTGAGCTTTAGACGTTAACACAGTAAGTGTCCTTGTCCTTACCTTATATGTCATTTTGTCCGTACTATATGTACAAAATGATTTTTGTAATAGGTTTCATTTCTCCTTAATAATATGGTATTATAGTTCGTACTTAATTGCAACACCATCTTGGAAAACATTTTTGAAAACGATGCACGTATCATACTATTATTTATATACTTATTATCCTAATGCTAACAATTCTAATTCTAAAAAAACGATATTGTGATATATACTCATATAATGAAATTTACGAATAGTATTGCCATAATATGAGATATATAAATTATGATTATTAGAAAAAACATTAGAAAAAGTTTAAAACGCTAAGTACAAAGAAAATCTATAAACTATGCTAAAAGGTAAATGTGGAAAATGGAGTTTGAAAATATAGAAAATAAACTATGAATAAAGGACTTCGGGCACTAACAATAATCATATTATTTTTGAAAAAAAAAATTAAATAGATATTAAGAACAACTGCATGAATACTTTTTTTAATTTAATTTATTAATAACATTCAAAACAATAAGTACATTTTCTGAGATTTGTTGATTTACATCAATTAAATATAATTATAGACAGTAGTTACCCCAGGCAATATTTTTTTAAGTCTTCTTAATTCAGGTGTTTAGAGCAGCAAAGCAACGAGTGAATTTGGGTGATTTTATAATTTCTTTTGATGATTAGTGAATCTTGTTTTTGAAGTGTTTAATATATAGCACCTTCAGATTATTATGCAAAGTTTTATTGTTCAAGTACCAGAGTGCACCTTTCATCATTCTAAGTAGTTTTGATTGGGTCCGTAGTACCAATGCCACATTAGATTTGCTAGAGCAACCCTAATGCTCGACTACAATAGGAATTAATATCACATAAATATAAATGGAACAAAGGATCAGTAATAATTACGCATTTATTAGTCAGCTCGAATTATTCCCTGTTGTTAATTCCATCGGATTTCGCGTCCACTTGGCTCGGTGCGATATCGCAGAAAATGTGCGGTTCTTATGGGTTCTTCAGATGCCGACAGCAAAGTAGTCGGGCATATTACAGAGCAAACAAAAGCCGTATCATTATTTATCAAAACGTGACCTAATTAACGTTCAAGGTCAATATGTAATTGATTACTATGTTCGCGGAGCGAAAACTTGATTATACATGCGAGAGCGCCGCAAATCATCGCGTTCCTCTATATTTGCGCCGGTCGCCTGGAATACCTGTAATATATGTTGCCTCTTCTATTGGTAACTCTTCGATACGTTTTATGGTCTGTAATAATCGCTGAATCTGACAGTAATAGGGATGTTACAGTTTCTTAATACATTGGTACTGATGAAATTTAATTTTATTAGTGTACTGCTTTTATACACCAATTTTATTGTATTATCATCTACTCTCCAAACTTCTGCTTGAATATTTTCAGATTTGTTCTACCACTTTTAGTTTTTTTGTACTTTCCAGATATATTCAAATTTATGTAGTACCATTTGTCTAATTTATTTTCTTATAAAGAAACAAATTCAAAGAAAAAAGGACAATTTTACAAGAAATAAATTAATTAACTTCCCGTAGGGCAAGTTATAGTAATCGCAAAAAAAAAATGAAAATGAAAATTTTTATATATGTTTACGTTTCAAAACCTTCTGAACATTTTGGAATACCTCAGAAAAAATGGATGTATGTGTGTGTGTGAGTGTGTGTGTTCGGATACAAATTTTCGTGGACGATTTCGGGAACACGGATGAAGCGATTTGAATAATTCAAAAAAACAT